ACAGATTACAGAGATTTCTTCATTAGTCAACCTTGATTTATCCCTGAAAATGCTCTGTCACATGCATTAAATAAGTCTGGTCTCTTAGGAAATGATAGTGTTAACTGAAGACTGTATATGCAAAAGAGAGCAATTTAAGGCTGCATGTGTGGTATTTTTATTTGGTGCTGTCCAGTTCTTAGGCAGCAAAGCTGTAGAAGTAAGGGTGAAGTACTTTGCTAGGGCCTCTGAGAAGAGTTGATGTGTAAGTGTATAAGCCACGTTCCAAGTTCCATCTTCACATTTCTTGATTTTTCATGTGTCCTTATATGAATCTCAATGACTTTTTCAAATCTTTAAAGAGAGGACAGTGACTTCGATCACTGCTCTCAGTTTGCCATATCTTGCTCTGTAGTTCTGTGCTGTCATATGATGTACAGAGATCTGCAGAGCAGGTAATGGAAGTGGCTGTTTTAATGTGGGGATTTCCTTCTGCTGGGGGCTGGAGAGGCGAGCACAGGTCAGGCTGCACACGCTGTGCCGTGCAAGGCATGACACATCTTGGCTGATGGACACTGAAAGAAAATGTCACAGGCTCTGGACGCAGCTTCACCTTGTACTGGTTTTAAATATGAAAGAATAATTTGCAACGCAGACAACTGCATGTTTAGCAAAACCTAGTAAATATATTAACCCAGATTTTCTGAGAAAGTTTGATTGAGTCAATAATAACAACCCTGTCCTTTTCTAACAAAAGATATGTATCACAAATGGTGAACATATATAATTGTCCTTCAGTATCAGAAGATGCAAAATATGAGCAATGGCCTAAACAAATGTCAAGTAAGCAAACATGGCACACTCTTCATTGTAACAGGCCGGTGGCATCAGGCATGAGTCTGGCCCAGTATATTGGATGATCAAGCTAAGTAGTCCAAATTGCTTCATTTTCTAAAAACATGATCAGCATCCCAAAGACAAGGAAGACTCATGCTTTATAAGCACCAGAGAATATATTAAGCAGGTTGATTAGATAATGCAAAGAGCAGATAAGAGGTTCTGTGGATAAGACGTAGGTAGTGACTAGGAAGAGAGATATTTAAAGATTAATTCATTTATGCACATGACATATTGAGGTCACTTTACATATTCATCTCCTATCTTCCATTCACATCTACATACATTTATGCCTTTGAAGCAATTGTGCCTTTTCTTAACCTCTTATCTCTCAGAGGTTTTCTTCTGACATCCGAATGCCTGGTTTGGACAGTTATAGAGTAGCTACTGCAGCTTTTATTTTGACCTCTTTTATGCTTTGTTGGTTTTGACTCCAAATTTTCTGTCCAGAGAGCTTTTAACAGCTCTCTCTCCTAGGAACTTCCATAACTTTTCAGGAGGGGAAAAGAAGGTTTGCTTGGTTTTGTGCTCAATATGTAAAATGCAGTAATTTATAAGCCTTGTGATAAATCATACTTATAGGAACAAGATCATGTATTTTGAGCTTTGAGTTTGGTCTTGACAGGTATGCAGTATGCTAAGATATTCCTTTAGTGATCACAAAGTCACTCTTTAGTGGAAAATTATTCAGCAAGCCAATTATAAATTTCATATCACATTTCACAGATTTTAATCTTTAAAGATGTTTGGTGCAAACAGTCACTAGTATGCCATACACAAACCTAATACAATCTCAGAGATGAGTGATATGCAAGAACCTTTCTGCGTGATGTACTCAATTATCTATCTATCTATTTGAAGTTAGTTATAGTTTGTTTTTCATCAGAGTAATAAATAGATTAATATATCACCTTATTTTATATTGAGAAAGGAAAAAGGCCATATAGAAAAAACAATAGAGCAGAATTTTATAACTCCTTCAGATTTTTGTCAAAAATTGCACTAATAGTCTGTAGCTAATTATAGCTACTTGATTTCCCCCCCCAAGCACAGCTTTTACATTATACATTTAAGCTGTTTAATTAGTGGTTTAGGTAATAAATTGGTCTTGTATCAGTCTGTTTTATTTTGTCATTGCTAATGAAATTATTGTAATGTTTGGCTTAGCAAGTAAAGGAACTCTGTTATTTTACCTTTTGTTTTAAGAGCTATTTCCTATTTGTGTTGCATACCAGATGTCACACTAATTATTATCTGCAGACAGGAGTGCCAACTCTGCTCTATATGTTAAGCTTTTCTAAAAGCATTATGCACTGAATGGTGCAAACTACTGTTATGATTCAGTATGTTAATGCTTTGAAATCGCCCCTTGTTGTCTTAGGAACTTCCTGTAACTATGATTGTGAAACAAAACTCTTAAATTTTCAGAATTTATCAGATCTGGAGATCAAATGCAACCTGCCTTCTTACTTAGCCTAGCTAAATGAAATGTTTGGGTTGTGTGTGGTTTTTTTAATGGAAGTGTGGCTTTTTCACTTTCATTTGCTCTGTATGCAAAAAAAAAAGAATTCTTATAAATCTTCCAACTTAGAGCAGGGTTTTTTTCTTGTAAAAATAAGCAAGATTCAGCCCACACTCTTTAGTTTAAGTAAGAATACCTTCAACACGTGAAGTTCTTTATGAGAATTTTTATACCTTTAAAAGCCAAACCTTTTCAAGTTCTTAACCTCTCTTAGCACTTTGAACTTTTCAATCAGTAAGAAACTTGAACTCTTCTCACTTCAGATGAGAAAGAGAAAGAAGAATGGACCCTGGGCAGTTTTGTGGAGTATGCCTGTTATTTCGTAATTAGCTTGTCTATTCAGTTCTGCTGCTCATTTTGGGGAGCAGGGGGAGTTTGGATGAAAGGCAAAATGTTAAGAAATAGGTTTTCTGGCACGTTCAGGTGATTCCTGCTGAACTGTATTAATAAGAAGGGTTTCCATAGAAGACAGGACAGTAAGACAGAGTGATTTGGCTTTAGCAGCGTAATTCTAACCATTTTCTGCTTTTCAATGTCTTCTAAATTATTATGGAGCAATTAAAGCAATAAATTACAGTGCTTTGAAGAGAAATACATTCCATGCCATGATTCTGCATATGCAAGGCAAGTACTTAAAGGAAAAAAACCACAAAAAAACAAACACTGCTAACATTTGTAAAACAGCCTTTAGTGTTATTTCATTGAAGCAAAATTTGTATTCCACTTGGCCAGGAAAGACTTCAGGAAAAAGATCTCTTGGTAGGTCATTCTGCGTAGGAGGTTTTAGGAAACCAGAGTAATAGACTTCATTGTTAGCATAGCTAATTTTCTAGGAATGAAATGGAAGTAGCAGCCAGTTTGCCCAGGCTGTGAGTGTATGGGGGATGTGGGAAAAACATACCTGCATATATACTTCTGTTGAGCTCAAAACTAGGCTGGGACACATAGTCTCAAAAGATTTATACCATGCTTTTTTCATTTTGACACTCAGTAAGGTCCCAAGTCAAACTATTACTTAGTCAAAAGATCAAAAGGTTTATTATTGTTGGGATTTTGGTGAGAACACAAACACGGCAATATGCATGGATTGTGCCTCTTCAGATTTTGGGGTTTATGTAACTGGTAGGGCTGCCAGGTCTCTGAAGGATATGTTCTAGTAAAAGCAATGATCTCGGAGCGAGGCCATCTATTTTTCATTAAGAAACATGAAAAGTGTTGTTCAGAGTTCAAACTGAACTCTTACCACAGCACAGTGAGATCTGTGTAACTGAATTCATTTTATCCAGACTTGTCTCTTACTGATTTTAGATGAAATTAATAGCAAAATTAGAAGTTTCAAAATTATATAACAATATAATATAGGTAATTTACAGCAGCTGTGGGCTACTAAAAGTGGAGGAACCAGAGGACGTTTTCTCATGAGATATCCAGTACTGATGTTTTATTTCAATCTGTTGCTAATGGTGAGGTTCTCAAGCTTTTGTGTCCATATCCAAACCAGACCAGTAATTATTTTCTGATCACTACCATAGGGTGATGTCACTGATCACTGGTTTTAGTTACAGTATAATAACATTTATTGGCAAAAATAAGTATGAAATAATACTGCATTTGATTGTAGTTTTTACTGCTAAAATTCAACAAGGCAAAAGCAGTGTATGAGGAACAACAGGATCACACTCAGTTTCTGAAGCTGGCTTGGAGTAATCTGGCATTGCAGGGGTCTAACACAGAACTGCATGTTGCTGGATGACACTCCAGCACTTTCAGCCTTTGTCACCCAGACTGGAAGGCAGGAGGGACAGGCACCAACTCTATTCATAACCACATGGCAGAGCTGTGGGGTTTTTTTTCTGGGAGTTTTTCAAGATGAGTAGGAAATCACCTTATTTGTATCGAAATCAAAATTATGTCAAATCAGACTGTCCACTGGAAACTGAAGTCAGCATACTGCTGAGTGCAGATGAGTTAGCTCTAACCGGATAATTAAAGATGATTTTGACCTTTTACTCCTTCTCCTTTCTTCCCTTACTCATTTTTCTCCTAACAGAAACACGTCATTTGTTGTAATTGCATTAGATCCTGAGAAGTGACTCATCATATAATGGGTACCAGCAGAATTAATTATCATGAACAGAGGAATTTTTTAAAACCAAATACATTGTTATATCTGAGTTATAAACCTTTGAAATGAAAGTGTTATCTTAAAATCATAGTCTAGTAGTAGCACCAGTATCTGACTCTATAACAAGAACCAGATCTACAATTAAAAATACTTGCTATTTGAAGTGATGTCAGACTTCTGTAGTACCAAATATAAAAGCAAGCAAGACATTATTAGACATTATCTTAAAGTTTGTCAATTGAAAAACTGAAACACCATAAATGTAAAGGTTCCAAATCTGGAAAAAAGTGTGTAAAATTAAACCAAATGTATGATGTACAGTAGCAGTATGTGAAAGAGTTTAAATGACTGTCTGTGTGCCTGTATACATGTGTATTGTCTTTGCATAGATACACATACAGAAGATACTCTAGTACTTCACATTTCCTTCCATCTATAAAACTAATTGCAAATTATTTCTTTTTGTTCTTCTCACAGCTGAATTTTTATTCCTCTTGTGGGGTGTTTATCTCTGCTATGCAGTGCGGACAGTCCCATCAGCATTTCATGAGCCACGTTATATGGCTGTTGCAGTTCACAATGAGCTCATTATCTCTGCTATATTCCATACAATTAGGCAAGTGATCTGTAGATCTAGTAATTAACTATTTATCTTTCAGGTTTCATGTGGTGCAACTTAAAATGGATGAATGGGATAGGATGCATAATGGAAGGTCTTATAAATATTTGTTTCTGCTAATTAAGAGATTACTAAACTTAAAAATGTTCCCATGGGATTCAAGAGTATGAAATCTTATAATTAGGGGTTTTTTTTCAACATAGCTTATAAATTAGGTATATGATAAATAGCAAAACTACTGTCTGTCTTCAGTCATGTACATACTGCTCACTGTTTTGTACCCCTAGAAAAACAGCAGGTAAGAATGTTGGTTTATATGAACTTTTCCTGGTGTGTAACAGATTGGTGAGCTGCAGCTATGTGTAAAGATAACTCTACTGGTTTGGGCATGAAGCACAGTGTTTTATATGCTGACATAAAAATATTGTTACACATATGATGGTATATTAGTAATATAAAGCCCGTGTTTCTTATAAAGTCTATAATGAGCTCTACATTTCATACTTGTAAATTATTTGGGTAGTATTTGGGTAATAAGGGTCTTTGCTAGAACTACATGAAAATTACTATATATACCTTTCCTACATAGTACCCTGTAAAAATGAATTGGTCCTAAAAATGCAAAATAGCAAGCTAACATGAGTTTCATCTCATCCTGTAAAAACTCTTAAGACTTTCTTATGATGTTCTCACACCTTCCTTTGCCTCCTGACTAACCTTATCTACTAAAATTTTTTTTATTTAACTTTGCTTAATTGATAGTCTTCAGATACTGTTCTCTGTTCCTTGGTCTGTCTTGGTACTCACATTTCTTCTGTCTGTGTTCTTGCTGTTCGCTTTTGTGTTTTTTTCTGAGTAAACATCAGCAAAGCAAATCCTTCATCTCAGTTCTTTCCTGATGCTCTTTTCCCTTATCACTGTCATACAGTTCACTGCATTTTTCAGGCTTGCAACTTTTTTTTATCTTCCTCTTCTTCTAACCCTGTATCTCAACATCCACATACTCTCAAAATCTTTACTCCCTAACACAAACATCTGCAAAGCTATTGTTTAAAAACCATATTTGATGGAAGCATTTTTTGTTTAATTCCTGGTGGATGTAAAATTCAGTTAAAATACTTTTGAATTTATTTTAACTGATATTACGGCTTCTCAGTCAATTCCCCCTCCCCCCCCATTAATTAATATTCCTAAACTGTATTTTGGGCCATGTTAGAAGATACAGTTCAGTGCACTAGGAGAGCTATTATGTGGGCTGCAAGTTTGTTTTAACAATAGAGCAGGATGAAAGTAATCTTGGATTAAAGAGAGGGGGAAAAGGGAAAAATAGAAAAATGTGGCATTTTAATACATGCTTTATGAAGGAGTCACAAAAGGATTAAGTGTTTCAGTTTATCTTATTGACAGTCCTGTGCCTCCAGCCTAAGGTCTGTTGATCTTGTTCTTCCGTTTTTTAATGTACATTTAGTATTGATTCTTTGCTATCTGTCTGATACATGATGGTTTATTGAAGAAATATCATGTAGTGTTTATGGATAGGAATGAATAAAATACGCATGATCCCCCCTGAGATTATGTCCATTTCTCCATACAAGTTTTAGTCTATTTCCTTACCTTTTTTTTTTTTTTTCTTTCAACTTCCCTGCCAAGGATGCAATTGAAAGGGTGGATATGTAGGACTTAGATTTATGTGACATATCTGAGTTGTCATGAAGTTGAAAGCACTGGAGCCTTGAAGGACACCTACAAGGCAGCCATCCAGTTTAAAAACTCCCGAAACTCATAGAAGATTGATGTGAGCACTAAATAAAACCTTGAACTGTTTCATTTTGTCTTCCTTTTAAAATATTCCCATTTCAGAAAAAGAAGATTCTGGATTATCTTCAGATCAGCATAGTATTAAATTCCTGCATTGCTCTTTCTCTTATATTACAGAGAAACCTCAAATTTATATGGGAAAAAATCTCATTCAAATAGAAACCCTATCTCTATAGGGCTGCATGGATACCGCAAATGCTATTTTGCTTTCAGAGGTATTGTATGGCATGTATACCTTAATCAGTCAAGACCTCATGCATAAAACAAGCAAAAAACCTTCACAGAATTTGAGGATAGGATCTGTTCAGGGTTAAACAAATCCAGTGGACATCAGGATGTGGGTGCTTTTTCCTGGCTGTCTGACGGATCTGGCTGCCACTGTTTCCATTTGCAGATTGAGCACATCCACTGCGGTGCAGTCACACACAGCTGCCCACGTGGACCAGTGCAGGCCCAAAACAGACAGCCTGGTCCTGTTCTTCCTCTACAGCTGGACATGGGCTGAGACCTTGGGTCTTACCAGGTGCAAGTCTTCCGTGTTCTTCCCTCACTTTATCACTTATCTGACCCAATTCTTGTCTTCTCCCAAATAAAGAACCCACTCCTCATTATTTTTTTTCCTATTGGTCCAAGTATTGCTACATCTGTACTCAAGTTTGGTATTTGTGATGCCATTAGCTGGGTAATCAGAGTCATATATGCTTTTACTGATATGGTTACATTGGCACCACTGACCTTGCAAGTTCTCCTCCCTCAAAGGTCCTTCAGTTACCTGTGAAGTTTGGCCATCTTTCAAATGACTCCCCTTTAACCACCTGTGAAATCTTGCTGTCCCCTACAGAACTGTCTGTAACTTTTGTTCACTTCTTGCTCTGTTGTTTGTTACATCCAGCAGTTCACGTCATCTTCATCAGTTGTCATGTTGTGTTCAGTTAGCTAAACCTCAGGCCTGAGCCTCCTCATATCCCCGCACATCCCAGCAGCAACATCTCTGTAAATGAAATGTTTCATGAACGCAATAAAAGATTATCATTAATTATTTCTTACAAAGTTATAAACAAGTAATTATGACTGTATTATTGCAGCGTATAAACCAGTGTTTCATGCCAGACTATTCCTGTTAACAAAAGCTTCTGCAGAATGTGCATCTGTGAACTTGGATAAGTTGCAAATGTCATTTCTGTCTGAATGATTTTTTTTTTAAAACCTGCAAATTGCAAACCAGCAGTACATCCATTCATCCATTGCATTGCTTACCGTTTCTATCTATGGGAGCTCACTAAAGCAGACAAGCTAAGCATGCTCTAGCTAGCTTTAACTGCACTGCTTGTTCTACCACTCTTCTGGAAAGCTCAGCAAGGAACTGCTTTGTTTGGGAGGTTCAGCCACTCATTTCTAAGCATTCACAAGGCTCTTGGGCCCCGCAGCAGTGAGCTGGGTGGTGCTGCAGTCAAGACCATTTCTCTGCTCTCCACTAAAAGGCATTTTAGTTCAGTTCTCTCTTTGATGGCTTCAGCTGCAATCTGTGGACATCCTGTGTTTATGAAGTGCACTGCGATTTATCATACTACATGTGCTTACTTAACCTAAAATCACCCCTTCACATCCTTAATGTATGTAAGCTGCCATAACTCAGGCCAAAGAAACCGTGACAATATAAACCAAACAAAAAGACAGCTCAATATAGTGAGAAAGATGGAATAAGCAGTATCATTTAAGATCTGTTTTTTTTTTTTTATATTTGGGTTTGTTGGTTGTTTTTTTCCTGAGTTGTTTTGAAATGTGGTAAAAAGCATGTGGATGTAATTTTTAGCCTGTATGAAAGCAGTACAGAACAAAACCAGTTGTGTTTGGCCATTCAATGAAAAGAAACCTAAGGAACATTAAAGATATTAAATCTAATGCACTGGAGAAAACGCAGTGAATTGCAACCCTGAATTCTATTTTCAGATTCATTCTTGTTTCAAGACTTCAGTCTGACTGGATGCTGATGCTGTTCTTTGCACACACACATTTGACTGTGACAGTCACTGTTGGGCTACTTCTGATCCCTAAGGTATTTGAGTCTCCTGTCTCTTTTCTTTTGCCAAGATTAAGGCAGATAAATGTTGTCATGCAGAAGCAATTCTGTATAAATCTAGCAAGCAACTGATAGAAAAGGAAGATGTAAAATTTGGCTATTTGGCTACCTAAAAAGCTGGTTTGGTGTGATTTTTTTTTATTTTAAAAACTTACACATTTTCAAAGATTCTTTCTTTCAGCTTTCAAAATTCCAGGAGTTTAAAGTACTTAAATTTTTGATGTGATAAATATAAGAAGGAAAGAATTCTGCCTAACTATGCTTTTTTCAGATACTTGGGTGTCTGTGCTGCTGCCAGAGTTTGCAGAGATCAGACAAAGAGTTTAGGCAAGAGGATAGAAAAACAAGAATCAGGAGACTGGAGTAGCCATGAGATAGAGAGGTTGGGATTTAAACCAGGCAGTTACAGGCTGAAAAGGTAGAGCCCTTTGCAAATCAGAGCCTCGGATGGGCAGATGCTGCATACTGGGAGGAGACATGACCCATGACATGGAGCCAAGAGCAATGTTGGGTGCCAAGATGAATGTGTAGGGGCACCAGTACGTGGGGGATGACAGGAGTCGGGGAAGAGAAAACGGTCTGAGCGCTGCAGTCACCTCCCGTTGGGCTCTGGGACTGAAGTGGCAATATGTCAGTCTCACCAGGGGCAGGGGAACTGCAGGAAGCTCCACCTGTCTCTAGCACTGATCCCCAGGATTTGAATGGAGCTCCTTCTTACGACAGTACCCCAGCAAAGCGAATAATTTTATAATGGCTTTTGAAATGACCGGTCATATTAATCAAAAGGTCAGGAGTCAAAGATAGGAGTAACAGTGAAAGTTATATATGAAGGAAGAGCATTAAGTGGTTTGAGTTGATAGAATTTTCAGGTTAATGAAGCTGCTATTCCCATCTTTTGTCTGTGTGTCTGAACAGGGTATGCTTATAATTGTCAAATATATATACATTGAACAGTCACAATGAGGGGACACATTGATGCAGCCTTAATACTGCATAACCTTGTTTTATTTTAAATTACTTTTCTGGTCTTTAGCAATAGTCTTATATTTTCTACTTTGTATTCATAGACTTTATAGCATATCTTCAGAGGTGTCTTTCTAAACTAACCTAGAAAATTTGTTGAGCTTTCTGAAGCTGACTCATAACTACTGATCAACATTTTAATTTTTAGCTTATTATCTGTGTGAGGCTGCAGAGGCTTTTCTTCCAGCATACCAAAGAATTCAGGGAATTAAGATTCGCAAGGTTTTGTTCTATTCATAAAGTCCTGAAGACAGATGACTGTGTGAACAATGGTAACTACAGATGAGTGAATCAGTATGAACAAAACAATTATGACAACCTCTCTCCAACTCTTGATTCAAGTGTTTGCTAAAACATAGAAGAGAAAAAATTGTCTCCTTTTTCATTAGTTTCCATCTTTTTTCATTTATTTTTCCTTTTTTTGGCCACCTCACATCTTCCTTTTCAGGGTCAGGATCTAAAATGGAAGAACTGCTTTCTACAGGATTATTAAGCTGTATGGAATAAAAATAGTGTCGTACAGTTTTAGCTGCCTAATTGGAAATACTGTCTGAAAGCCTGTTTTTACCCTAGCTTAATTGGAATGCCATTTAAAGAGGTTCAAACAAGCATCAAAATAAGTAGGATTTTTTTCTCAAGCAAATCTCTTAAGATTTATCAAGTTAAGGCATCTTAATAAGAGTACCTTCCACACAATACTGATACTCCATAGGACACTGCTTATGCCAGTGAAGATTATAGATAGTGTTTTGAGTTTGAGAATCACATGAAATCTATAGAAAGATCATTGTACCGTAAAAACTTCTGTAAGCTCTTATGGTGATGTTGGAGTAAACTTTTGCACTCATGGCAACCTCTTTCTTATGAATACTTATTGCAGTTTTCACATTCAAGCAATAACCCAAGAGATGATATAGCTACAGAAGCTTATGAAGATGAGCTTGATATGGGTCGATCTGGATCCTATCTGAACAGCAGTATCAACTCAGCATGGAGTGAACACAGTTTGGATCCTGAAGATATTCGGGTACATAAAACTCATTTAAATAGCATTCATTTTCAAGAACAACACTTTTTCCTACGAGTAAACTCCAAAGTGCATGCATTTATCTTTCTTTGCAGATATCAGCTGAAAAAGGATAGCTTAGGTCTCTTATGGTTGTGGTATCGGGTTATGTAAAATCTCATGGAAACTATTGACTAGCGTGAAGAGATGCTGAATTATTACTTGCAGTAAAAGTCATACTGGCAGCTAAGGAGGAGGAATCATCCCCAGAAAGAGCTGTTTATCAGTTTACATAGGCTCTTTGAATTATCTTGAAGTGCTAACAACATCTGGTTTCAGTGTGATTAGCCATTTGTAAGTAACATATACGTAAGCATATATAACTGCATAGATAAAACTTTAAAAACACAAGATCAAAAGAAAAAAATATTCCTATCTTGCATGATAAAAGGGGTTATAATAATTCTGAGAATAAATAATAGCTATAGAGATCAGCAGGAAAGCATACTCCTCAGCATTGTGAAGTGTGAAACATACAGCATAAATGTATATGAATTATGTGTGCTGTGGAAAGTTTGTGCATGAGGGTTGAACTTATTTTTAAAGTGCAAAAAAAATGGATTCAATTTGGTGGAGAAATAGCATATTCAAGAACTAGAAAAGACAGTGAAGTACGTTTAATGCCATTGTTAGAGCAGTAGATCTTGCATTCATCAGGCTGCTTGTTTGACTGCACTCACTCTGTACATACTAGTTTTGCCATTCACTTTGCTTTGCAGGATGAGTTGAAGAAACTATATGCCCAGCTTGAAATCTATAAAAGGAAAAAGATGATTGCTAATAATCCACATCTCCAGAAAAAAAGGTGCTCTAAAAAGGGCTTGGGGCGCTCAATAATGCGGCGTATTACAGAAATCCCTGAGACAGTCACCCGGCAGTGCTCCAGGGATGAGAAGGACTTGATGGAGCACAGTGCTGTGAAGAGCTTGGCCACACTGAAGAAAAATGTGCAGGATTCCACAAGCTCTGCAAAGCCAAAGGAAGAGACTTTGAAAAACAGGGTCTTTTCCTTAAAAAAGTCCCACAGCACTTACGATCATGTTAGGGATCAAACAGAAGAACCAAATGGCTTAACTACAGAAAGTGCAGAAGTTATACCTGCTGAGAAAACACTCCTGGACTCCTTGAACGGTAGCAAATTAACCAAAAATGCTCCTGAAAAAGTTGAAGCTGTCTCCACTGAATCGGTCCCTTTGGTGTGCAAATCAGTAAGTGCACATAACTTAAGTGCTGATAAGAAGCCTCTGCATCCAAGAACGTCTGTGTTACAAAAATCCCTCAGTGTTATTGCTAGTGCCAAGGAAAAGACTCTGGGACTAACGGGTAAAACACAAAGTCTAGAAGAAAGCACTAAATCTCATAAATCTCAGCAGAAGGGTAAGGAGGCCAGCAAAAAGCACTCAGCCTCCGATAAGGGGGAACATAAGGATTCCCACAGGAAAAACTCTGCCCAGTCTGAGGAAACAAAGAAAGCCCATAAATCTGGAATTATTAAACAGCAAAGGGTTAGTCAAACACCTGCAAATCCAGACACAGGCCCAGATAAGTCTTTGCACAAGGACAATTTTGACAGAGGAGAAGTTTGTCCTTGGGAGATATATGACCAAATTCCTGGTCCTGTGCCTTTTGACTCTAAAGCTCAAAAACATGTATCCATTGCTTCCTCAGAGGCAGAGAAAAACCACCCTTCCCCACCAAAGGGGAAGACTCATCATAAGCTGAAGACACCTGAGGGGCACCAACAGTCAAATCAAAAGAGCTCAGAGAAGATGGAGGCAGCCACTCGGGAAACACAAGAGCAGCAGGTCTTTGAAAATGAGAAAAACCAGTCAAATTCCAAGTCTCAGGTCACTCCTGGGCTGAAGTATGAGAATGTTAATAAATATACACCTAATACCTGTGCTGGGGAGCGGGAGGAGCTGCCCCAGAAAGCAGCAGAAAAGGAAAACCTCAATAAATTGGCGGAACAGAAAAAAAATGCCTCTTCTGAGGGAAATGTGCTTTCATCTAACTCCCATAAGCCAAGTAGTTACTTACAGCAACCTTTAGCATCTCGAGCTGAAGTCTGCCCTTGGGAGTATGATACACCAGATTTACCAAATGCAGAAAGAAGTGTAGCTTTATTGAACACCTCTGCTATAAGTGCAAATAAAACAGCAGCACCTCGAAAATAAAGAGGCTTTTGGACTGAGGAGAGTAGCAACACTGAGAAGAAAGACAACAGAAAAGACAGAAGGGACTTAGACCAAAAGGATCTGAAAATTCCTAAGGAGCATCACTTAAATCAAGGGAATCAGCACTACAAATAAGTAGAAGTTAAGTGAAGTAAATTATCATTAATGTTGTTATTATTTATTTGTTGAGTGCCAACAATGTGATTAGCAATGCCCAGAATACGGTCCCTGCTCCAAGGATTTTACTGTGTCAGTGAAAGAAATCTGCCTTTGTGAAATCACTTCTCATTTAAAAGAAAAATAATATGATGGTAACAAACGCACAGTGTAGATCTTAAACGAATTATTTCTGGATGCCGTAACTTGCTTTAACTTGCCCTTGGGACTTTAAAGATCCAGCAGAAGTAGGGCACAGAAAATGTTCTGATGGCAGAAAGGAGTATCAATGAGCAGCTTATTAAAATGACGACTTTTCACTTTACATATTTAATCAAAATAGCACTGCTAACTCAATGCATCCCAAAAATATTTTCTATAATGATTGCTCTCATTTTCTTATTACTATGCTTTTAGGTACACCGTTGTGTCTCATATTAAAGCATTCCAGATTGTATAATTTTTGCAGATAACTTTGATATTATGTGACACAACAACACATTTATGTGATCTGCAGATACTTTCTTCTAATTGCAAGTTAAAATATCTTTTTGTTTATATATAGAATTGCAGTAATCTTTCACTGGCTATGGAAGCCATAATTCTTATCAGGAAATTCTTTTGATCTTTGGAGATTATTTTTTTTCCTTTCCTGTGATTTATATAGTGAATTTTTTTGTTTACTCTCTGTTATTTAAATTTATAGTTTAATACTGTATTATTCGGGAGTTTTATATGCAGTAAGTTATGCACTTCCCTGTTAATGCTCATAGACTTTGTTAGTAGTGGAAATTCAGTCGTCTTAGCTGCATATTAGGACAACTTGTCTGTTTCTTGTTACTAATTGGAAAATATCATCTATCAAACCAGAAATCTTACTTTAAACATCCATTGTGATGATCTTGTTCAGTATTCCCTACTGAGCATATCCTGCTAAATAAGTCAAGCTAGAATGACGATGAATATACCCCAGAAATGATCACCTGTTTTTCTAAAATAGACAGCTCTGGGAAATACATTAGCTAGCCTATATAGAGCAACACTGCACTGTTTACTCCTGATGGCAAACGTCAAAAACTTGGCCCTTGGAGTGACAAGTCCAAAATATTACTCTTCTCCCACATACGCAATTGTAAGAGGTAATGGGAATTGAAATGATGGCATTTCTCTCCCACTCTCCAAAATGCTTTGATTTGTTTTTTTTTAAATTTATATGTGCATTTATAGTAAAAGTAAGTGTTTAATACAGTGCTGCTTTTCAGCAATAGCACTAGTCCTCATCATGCATATGAGCTTAATTCATGACCCATTCGCAACTATGAGTCTTAGTGATGGTTCACCATCAGGGCTTGAGGACGTATCATAAAGATTCTGAGTAGTATGAGTAATAATGAAAAACCCCCAGCCATCTAAATGGAGTATCAGTAAAGTGCTGTTCACTGGAATTGGCTGTACGTAGTGTACTCCAAAACAAAGACAGCTCAGTCCTAAAGAACTTGTGCAGTTTGAGAGAAGTGATGGGATTCAGTGGAAGAACATGAAATGAGGATGATTGAATAGAATGTGTTGTTTAATATATATATAATATATATAAAAATAGATATTTATATATGTTTAATATATATATATAAATGTCATATCTAATACACACATGCACATACACTTATGTAGTATAAACTGATCTTTGTGGCATCATAGAAAAAGTGGCTTAAGATAAAATGCAATGAGCAGAGGGGCGTAGACAACCTGGGCATGAGGAGGACTTTTTCTGTCATTTAAAAGGGAGAGGAGTCTATGGGCATGGCTAGACTGACAGATCAAGATGGATCTGACCTTCCTACTGCTTCTGCTAAGCCCTAACCTGGAATGTGCCAACACTTAAGCCAGCGGGGGACAAGTTGGCTCAGGTCTTGGTGCTGTCCAAACACATTTACCTCACTTATAAATTCTCCTCAGAGCTCCAGATTAAGTGGCTGAGCTGCCCCAGCCAACCTGGTTAGGCAGAATGATGCTCAGTTACACCATGAGGACATGCTGACTTAGGTCTTTACTAACCTGGGCTTGTCCGACTCAACCACCCCTCTTTTGTAGGGTGTAATTATGGCCTAGGAGACCTGACTGGGACCCCTGCAACCCAGAATCCTTGTTTCCCCTATGAAAGGGAGTCAGACATATGAGCCTGAGTGCTTTGGGCATCAGTGCACCCACTTTGTACACACAGCGCCACTAGCATCCTGTGTGCAGCCCAAATCCAGCGCTATCCTTAGTATGGAAAAGAGCTGAGGTTAGACCTGGTGTGCTCAGATTCTCCCTTCCCAGTCCCAGACACTGGTGGAATTTGTCTGTAAATATTCTGTCAACTTCAGTGGGACTTGATCAGCTCTTCAGAGAGAAAGTAACCCTATATTTCTATGGGAAGAAGTCCATCCTGGGAACATAGCTTTCTGGGAGTCCTCCAGGAGCACACTGACCCTGTGTGCAGAGAAATACACAATTTTAAACCTGATGAGAGCGTTACCATCTCACACCTCCCCAGTCTTCAAGGGGAGGTTCTGCAACCCATCTTAGCAGTGGTTTGTGGGAACAGGATGGGGGAACAGCTTATTGCAGGCTGCCCCGACTCACAAAGCCAGTGCTTTGTCAGAGCCAGGCGGTGAGGTTAGAAGTGGGAATCCATGGAGGAATCATGAACGTAGACATTTGTATGTTCTCACTGCCTCTTGGAGACAAGGAGCAGGCACCAACCCTCTTGCCCTCACTCGTCTTGCCCTCCATCCTTTACCTCGGAGCTGAGCAAGGACACACTGCCCATGCCCTGCTCTGTGGGAGCCGTGCTGGGGTGCAGCACACAGCAAGGGTGAGGGGATCCCCACTGGCAAAGTGTCTGCACAGTACCACTGCCCCTTGCATTCCTGGCAGGATCAAGCCCTTCATGCATGACTGTGTCTGTGCCACCGCTATATATCTATAATTCCTTGCTTGGTTTCTTTTCCTTTTCTTTTTTTTTTTTTAAAGATAACTTCATTAGAAACACAGAAACAAAGCCCAATCCTTGGCTGGTGTAAAACAGCTCAGCAGCACAGCAAGCAAAAAGCAATGGTTGGTTTACCAGGGAAGGCACTGGCTTGTATATTCTTGTTTGGGTTTGATTTCTTTCATCCTGACCATTTCCCTCACTTCTTAAAAAGTGTCTGTTATGGTTCTTTAGGCTCATTGTAGTCACATCCCCTAAGACTGACACAACTGGGGAACTTTCCTTTAGAAGACAACAAAGCTTTCCCCAGTTTATTAAGCAACTGATCTTTGGACTACAGATTCAATTGGGACTTAAAATTATTTCACATTTAAGAAAATGAGGGGCCAAACTTCACACAACTATTCTATTTCACTATGATGCTGCTAGAAGCATTGCTTAATGAAGACATACTAAGTTAGACATAAATAATGTTCTGCATTTCATAGATTTTTCTCCACCAGCAAATATGGGCTAGATTGCTTAGTTGTCTTTTTCTGGAGTTTCATTGTCACTGTTCAGCCAAGAGAAGTGTAACTCTAGAATAAAAATGTTACCATGATGTTTTCTAGCAGGTCTGTTCAGAGAAAAGACAATAAACATGAAGGTCACAAACATTTGCTAGGTTGTCCTTTTAAATGCATGTGCAAGCTGCATTTCTCCTTTATTTCTAAGCCATGGTTTATAAAGAATTAGATTTATACCAATATTATTAGACTTGTATAATTTATGCAAGATTATGCGCTTTAAAATATAAACCAGTACACACCTATCATCAGCTTTGGTGGCATCATAGACCTGAAACCGGACAATACTTTTATATTTGCTCTCCTTAGGCTTTTGCATGCATATGACAACAGGCAGGCCTGAGCAAACACTGCCTTTGACTTTTAACATTTTAGCTACTCCAAGTTGTAGAGTATATAAAGCTGTAAGTCTCTTCACTTTATAATGTGGTTCTTATGACAATGTTATCTGGCAACCAACAGCATCCACCATGAAATACTTGATAGATTTATGTTGTAATGTGTTGCAGCATGTAAATAATGTAACTTCTCTGCAATAAAGCACATTTATATGAAATCTGTCTGCAGGCTTTTGTGTTTTGGTTTTCTAAAGTCATTACTGATCCAAGCTAAACAGGTTTCCTATCAAACTTCAAAAGTAGCTAATTTTACAGCATATATGATCTGATCATGTCATTAGCATTTTATGGATTTTCCTCATATCTTCTTAACATCAGCCTTTAGAGTAGATGTGTATTGTGTTCATGATTTCTGGTTAAGGAAATAGCTCTGTTTCCTCAGCGATTGCAATTTTGAGATCAAAAATTGTAGAGTCTGTTCTATTTTCTTTTGAACTTAATGGCAACTACAGTATTAGAAAATAATAGGAAGTAACTGGATGGCATTTTATCATGTCACTGTAAAATCCTACAGCTCATCTCTGCTGTATGTGTGCATACCTGAATTCCTCATCTAAGATATGTGTCTAACAGATACAGGAAAGATACAAAGAATGGGATCAAAAATATCAGAGACAGAAAATGGCAGCAGTGTAAGTGCAACTTGTTTAGCTTGGGAGAGAGATGACTCAGAAAAGGGGATGAGACCTATATAAAATTGTGAAGGATTTGAAGGTAATTAGGAGACTGGAATTTGCTGGATTTTATCATGCAGAAACTATAGAGCACCCAGGGTGGCCATCATGCAGTAGCTTAAAACAAATGAAATGTTCTTGTGTATGTGGCATAAATAAGTTGTGAAGCTAATTTTCACAGATTGCTGTGGGTATCAGGAGTTCAAAAAGCACTCGAGAGGTCATGGAAGAGAAGTCCATCAAGATCCCTGAAAACTCTTAAATCTGTAGATGGCTGATAAGTAGTAGAATTCTGTTTGCATAATCATCCAGTTTTATTTCCATAATCACCCACTGCTGGATAGATGGGCTCTACACTGCGTGATGAACATTTCATGCAGCACAACCTCTGTATGTTTTTTATACCTGCATAAACACAGATAGTTATGCTCAATTAGCCTATTTTTTGTTGTCATCCATGTGTTTTTTAATTATTATTGATGTAAAAGTCAGGTTGGTTCTTGCATGGGCACATATATATGTTCACTTGTGCCTCTGCCAGTGCTTTCTGGGTTGAAATGCTGATATTGGGGTAACCAGTCTGAATTATAGCATCAGGTGTAATGGAGACATGACAGGGAAAGAAGGGGAAGGAAATTACTTATGTTTTATAAATGAACTGTATACAAGTCCTTTGCAAGCAAGAAGTCCAGACACCAGAAAAACAAGGCTTGGAGATTTTTCTCTGAACCACTCCATGGGGCTCAGCTTAAACTGAGAGCAGCTTTGCTTTCTCAGGTGCAGGGTGTCAAAATTAATAGTGGCCTTTTGAGCCCCACTTCTGACATTTTGACGGTTTTTAAGAAGTAAGGGAATGATTTCCAAAGTTTTGTAGATTTGGAAATCATTCACAGCTTTATTTTCAAGTACCATCTTGCTTCTCCTGTTACATTCTGTGAGAGGAAACCATGGCTGTGCCTGCCCATCCATGAGAAGCTGAGGCGGGGGGGATGTCCCACCATCAGCCTGCTGGCACCCCTGAGGAGGGGATAGAGAAGACAGATGGGCTCTGCACAGCAGTACATGGTGGGAAGAAGAGAGATACAGGCATAAATTCAAACAAGAGAGGCTCGGAATGAATATTCGGAAGACTTTTCCACCATGAGAAGTCAAACAATGGAGAAGGTTACCCAGTTGTGCCATTCCCATCCTTGGAGCTTTTCTTGGATAAAGCCCTCATCCTGTAGATTTGAGCAGCAGGTTGGAGACTTCCTGAATGATCCTATTGTTCTGTGAACAGTGTTTACTACCAGAACTTACCTCTCACATGATCCCTTGGAAACCCTGCAGGTGGATACCAGGCGGCTCTGACTCCTCCCCAGGAGCACAGGACACGCATTCATTTATACAATACGTAACTGTGGGCAAACCCTCTTAACAAACACCAGCTACCATTACAGCATTTGGCTTTTCCTCTGACCTCCAGAGCCCAGATGATCATGGTAACAAAGTGAAGAAGGAAATTATTTTCTTTAGAGCTGGTTGAGTAGAAGTTTTAGCTGCCTATGTTGAGTACTTGAGCTGATGTACAGTTGAAAGAAAGTCTGTAAAAATGTTAATGTTTTTCTCTAACACTTTGAGAATTTTTTAAAATCAGTGCTGGATTCTGAAGGAACCATTAGGAAATTCTGAATCTGGGGGGGGTGTGAATGCAGTTGTTCAAAATGGCAGTTGATTTGATTCAGGGTTACAGGGCTGCCAGCCTGCCTGCAGAGAAGTTGTTTCAAGCTGAATATGGTTTTGGGTTTTTTTTCAATAAAATAATATTTCTAACAGGGTTGGAGCCAACTTTTTCCAATTCATAAGGAGCTTTTTCATCAACTCGGAAATTAGCTTTAGCAATGCTAGAAATTTAGTAAAGGATATTGATCGTTGGTTGGCAGGCTGCCATCATGTTACAATATTCAAACTTCTGGTTCTTTAACACTTGGAAAATTGAACATTATTGCTCCATTTCTGCAGGTGATTTTTCTTCCTTTCTCCCCCCCCTTATTTATGAGTTAACTCTTTTGGTCACAGAAAATGCACAAACAAATCAAACCGTGGACATTCTACCATGAAATTACTGGATTTTAGACTTGTGGATAAATGAGTTGAATTAAATTCTTCATTGTTTCAAAGCATGACAAAGCATTACATTGTACCCAAAATAGTCATACATTTTTGAAATATGCATTTATGATCTTCTATATAATATAGATATGCATAGCTTATCTACAAAGTACAGAATCATTACTGCAGGCCTTTAGCTGCAGAAGACAGGGTTTTCCAGTAGACAAGTAGCAATTAAAGAGAAGCAATTTAAAGACAAGATCGCTAAACCTGCTCAATGGAAGTCTTTTCATGAAATTCAAACCGCTCAGTGTCTTTTGGGTCTATGGGTATAAAATGTGTGCTAAGTTAGGGCCTTCCTATGTCTTTGCTTCTTGGCTGCTGGGGAGATGTTCTGAGGCAGAGCAAATGCAGACCCACCACAGCACGGGTTGCGATGCCCACGTGTGAACTCTTACTTCCCTGCTTGATGGTCACCTGTGCTGTGCCCTTAATGATAGGGAATCATGGAGTAGACTTAAAAACCTGTATTTGGCTGATGGGCTTTGCCAACACCCATACTGGTGGCTCTCTGTTGTATCTTCTCCCCTGCTGCTCTGCAGAAGCTGCCAAGAGCAGTGGAGATGAGATGGGTTTGGATGCTGCAGGGTTGTCAGTGGGGCAGAGTGAATCTTCTGGAGGCTGCTTGGATCTTTTTGAGCACTTGGTCTTTTTGAGCTTGACAGATGATGGCAGGGAGTTTAGACTGGCTGCCTTACTACAGATGAAAACCACATTGATTTGACATACTTTAGTGCTAAAAATAGTATCATATAATGATGTCTTTGCCATGAAAGGTTTTTTAAGCTGCAGGGGGGGTAAGAATCATGTGGTTGCAAAGCAGTCATCTTGGACACTTCATCAAAGGAAAATCACAGCGGCACTGGAGAAGCCACCTGTCCAGCTCTGTTCCCACATGATATTTCATGAGGTACTTGGCAACTGCACAGGATTTGTGTAAGCCAGCAAAATTGGCTCGTGCTTCTCTATATACAATATATTTTATATTTATATTCATTTTAATGCTTTTGTTTTACAACATTTCAATTTACCTTTATTTACAGAAGTTTTGATACCTCTGTGATGATTTTTTTGATCTTTTTACAGGAACTTGCTACTACACTTGATTTGTATCTCAGCAACTCTATTGCAAGGCCAACATTATCCTCACAAAATTGTGTTTTAAGTCCAAAAGCAATAGTTTCATTAAATAGTTTAAAATACAGTTGGATAACAATGTTTTTACACACAACCAAAATACTTGCCAGACCACCTGCTCTGATGTTTTATTTATTGTCTAGATTATTCTCAATTCTTTGGGAACAATATTAAAGTTCAATATAATGGACAAGCAGATCATAATAGGAAAAAAAAGATAAAACTGCATATTCTTTATTTTGTTAAAAATGTGATAGTGAAAACGCTAGCATTTCTGGGGGAGAAAATAAAACAGTGAGGATTTTGTTACTGCTTTCCCATTCAGAACCAATTATGTAGTATTAAGGAGCTCAGAGAAAACTTTTGTACATTTCTAGTTGATCATATACTGCCCTGTACATTCTGTCTATTTAAAACCCTTGTGATTTCAGCTGAAACAAGTATGTATCCTGTAGTTCTTGCCCAAAACTTTTTTTTTCTAGGGGTGCGTTTGACCCAGTGGGAACAAGTTTCAACAGAAGGCGCAGAAACCACAAATACATATTGAAGTTCCATGCCTGCGTATGATTTTTGGGTTTTATGCACCATTTTTATGCTGTTTCTGTTTTTACCTCACAGTAAATTACTTTTTTATGGAAGTAAATTATTCGGATATTGTTACTTCAAAAGCATGTGCATGTTTGGATTGTCAAACAGATAGGTTATAAAAGGAAATACATTTACACAAAACAAACAGTGCAGTGTTTGGGGGCTTTATAAGCAGAGTTCCCACTTTCCTCTGCTTGTTTGTTGTCTCCTTGCATGGGAAAGATACTTTATACTGTAACTTAATATGATGCAAAAGAAGACTTGGAGGACAGGTTACCAAGTTACTGAATGAGAGGCAAACTATTAGTTAATTCTTAACATAGAAATTACTGATTTTCAATGCCACTAGGAAATCAATTTAGACTCCATTTCTCTTTCAAAACTCCAGTCCGAAAGTCTAGCTTATTGGTTTTGATGGCAATAAAAAAATCTACAAAGTCAGCAATGGAGTCCATGCCCTTATACAACTGCTTGGAGAAACAGGCTGATGTGAACCAGGTAGACTCTTGGTGTGGGAAACTATTTGGAACAATACACAGAATGACACATTGACTATATCCAGCATTAATTTTGCAATACCAGGAATTAGTTATTAGAGCCAAACGTGA